TCACGGGCTCCGGCGTGCCCTTCGTCGCACGGACTTGGTTCTCCTTCTGTAACGAGCACAGAGACCCACACGTCACCACACAGAGCCAGAGACAGCTCGGGAATTAGCTTTTCGATAACTCGGCCTCCTACCGTTCTACGCATCCCCACCCTGCCGTGCGACAGTCATACAGAGGCTGCTGGAGAGAGAAGGGGAAAGGCCTCGTGTTGGGCTTGAGCCACTGCTGATCACTGAACGGAGTGGGTGTGAACAGGCTACATCCAGGCCTCTTTGCCCACAGGCGAGAATCACTGCAATGGGTGGCCTCTGAGGTGGTGGGGAATTAAAGGACAATGGTCCAGGATACCCCTCCGGCCACCTCAGCTGGTGGTAGCAGACGCTGCTCTATCTAGGCCACTGTATTCTCTCCCACCTCGAGTCTCATGGGGCCGAGAGGCAGAGCCTTTGCTAGACGGACGGAGCTCAGACCATGGGATCGCTTATTTCTCCAGCAGACTCCACAGCCACTGGATTGCACCACCAGTCTCATGCACATGCATCACGTCTACCCGGCAACTCTCTCTGCAGCATTGCTGTCTGTCACTGTGGTGCCCATTTGCTTCCCCGCCCTGTGCCTGGTGGATCTCAGCATTTCTAGTCCCAAACCTCTGGGTACTGCAGGTTTGAAAAACGCCTTTTACATTAGGAAACCTCAGTTCCAGGCATGGAACAGTTAGAGAGGAAAATGCATTTCTGCTACAGCATCATTGCCCCTTTGCACCACTCTTATCTAGCCTGCCCAGCCCAGCACATACCCCTCTCTTAGGAACAGGGACAGCTCTCTCTGCAGGAGTTGTTCTTCTGGAAAGAGAGGATGAAGACAGTGGCTTGCGAGGAAGTCTTTTCTTGATTTCTTCCTGCTTCACCTTGAGCCTTTGCAGAAGGTCTTGGTTTGCATGACGCAGCCTCTCCAGTTGCTCCGACTCCATCTTCTGCATGACGGTCCCTAAAGGGCCAGAGAAAGGTGGGTTGCATAACTGTGAGCACTCCACAAAGGAACAGGAAGGGAGGAGCCATTGAGTTACAAATTGAGGGGAATCCACTCTAGAGACAGGAGTGTTGGAGGGTTTTCTGACAGTTGGAGTTTTTATCAGATCCCCTGAGAAAGGAATCAGTCTCAAAAGTCTCCACGCTTTACACACTCTAAGAACAAGCATCATTTTTCATTCCTCTTCCCCTAGGGAAATTATCAAGTAATTTAGGCCCCAAATCTGAGTGCTCTTAAAAAGAGAGATTATAAAAACTTAACAGAGGAAAACCACCATGATTTAAAAAACAAAAACAGAATCATAGGACTGGAAGGGACCTCGAGAGTCCAGTCCCCTGCACTCATGGCAGGGCTAAGTATTATCTAGATCATCCCTGACAGGTGTTTGTCTAACCTGCTCTTAAAAAACTCCAATGATGGAGATTCTACAATTTCCCTAGGCAATTTATTCCAGTGCTTAACCAACCTGGCAGTTAGCAAGTTTTTCCTAATGTCCAACCTAAACGTCCCTCACTGCAATTTAAGCCCATTGTTTCTTGTCCTATCCTCAGGGGTTAAGAAGAACAATTTTTCTCCCTCCTCCTTGTAACAATCTTTTATGTACTAGAAAACTGTTATGTCCCCTCTCAGTCTTCTCTTTTCCAGACTAAACAAACCCAATTGTTTCAATCTTTCCTCCTAGGTCATGTTTTCTAGACCTTTAGTAATTTTTGTTGCTCTTCTCTGGACTTTTGCCAATTTGTCCACATCTTTCCTGAAATGTGGACACAATACTCCAGATGAGGCCTAATCAGCGCAGAGTAGAGCGGAAGAATTACTTCTCGTGTCTTGCTTACAACACTCCTGCTAATACATCCCAGAATGACATTTGCTTTTTTTGCACCAGGGTCACACTGTTGACTCATATTTAGCTTGTGGTCCACTATGACCCCCAGATCCCTT